CTTTGCCAGAGACAATTTTTGGTGTTCTGAGGAAAAGGCTGCCGTGCTGGAGATCCATCATCTCTCCTTTCAGCTTGTCTTCCATGACATCAACAAGGGCAAGCTCATCGGCCAAGTCCTTCATTAGGATACTGATGGCACAAGCCATGCCAACAGCACCAACCTCAACAACCGTAATCTTGTTCTGGGGGGCTTGTTCTTCCTTAAGTAGATTCACAATCAGCTGGTTCTTGAGGGTTGCCATCTTGGTGGACTTTGAACCTCTTGGGACCGCTAGTGCACGATGAACAGCAGCGTGGTCTGGGCTTGGCAATAGAGGCTCCAGGACCAATTTTATTAAAATTTTTCAATTTTTTTCAGATATTTTTGGTCGGTTAATAGGGGGTTGTGAGTCATGTCCAAATTATTTCTGAGAAGATTCTGATTAGTTTTTCAAGTTATATAGCAAGCTATACAGTGGGCATAGACATTTAGTCAGAGTTAGTGTTGTGCCCAGATCGCGACCCCCAGAGAGACCACCAAAGACCAGCATGCCGGAATGCAAAAGCAAGGTTTAATTCTGGATATCCAAAAGCAATACAAGCCTAGGCAGGGACTTCGTCCAATACATCCAACGCAGTGGAGGCTGGAGGAAGTGCCCGCCTGTCTGCAAGCTCAGTTTTTAAAGGGAAAAATCACAAGGTTACATCATTTAGGGGGTGCTAGTACAGGTACAATTCTGACTGGCTTGTTTCTAGGGGCTTTCTAGAAATCATGGCTTAATCTTACTTCTAAGGGGGTGGTTGCCTGCTGCCATTGTTCATTGGCTGCCTCAGGTAGGGACATTTTTATGGTCAGTTACCCTGGAAACCAGGGTTGGAACATTCTCTATAGTCTGGCAATCATTACCTCGTGACTACCTTGTGACACCGTACTTTTACACTTCCTGGATTCTGGAATCTGGACTGACTTGTTTCAGTAACTATTGGCCTATTCCTAGAAGGAGAAATCTTAGGCCTAAGTTTTGGGGTGAAAGCATTTTGTTCTTATAATTCTAAGATGGCTTATTTTGGTCTCACATTAGAAAGAAGATGCTCAACTTTGTCCCATTTTGTTTTCATGGGAGGAGACAGGATTTAGGCTATAACAGCTTTGTGTGTTATTAGAACTAATTTATGGCCAAGACTTCTTCTGGCATGAATCTGGCATAAGACTTCCCTGCATCCTAAATGTCAGGAATTTATTGATGATCCATATGGAGCTTGATGTTGGTAGTGATATATCCTGTTTTATCCACAGGGAGCAGTAAAGGTGAATTTCTAAAATAAATAAATGAACAAATAAATTTGTCTTTTTTTTCTCTCTTCTCCCTTACTGTCCCCCCTCCTCTTCCTTCCCCTTTCCCTCTCCTCCCCTCACTTTCTAGGTCCAACAGGAGGCAGCTAGAATTTCAATACCCTTTATTCTGAAAATCTGCATATGACAGGTAGGGATCTTCTCAGCCTGGCATCCTGGTAACTATGAGCAATGCCCCAGGTCAGACTGACATGTGGATGCCAATACCTTGTGTCCTCATTTATCTGTCTGACTCCTGATTCATTCAGAGATGCAGAGTGAATTTTTATGACAACTTCCTACTGTTCCAAACTTTTCCTGAGGCCTTAAATACTAATATGTATTAAGAATAATTAAGGTATATTTTTTTTTTATCAAAAATACCTTTGTGAGAAACTTAGATAAATGCTTGTTTCTTGGAAATCCATAGTTTAAACAAAACAAATAAATGAATAATGTATTATTGAAAGAATAAGGGAGGAACCACTGGTGTTAATTATACTTGGTTGAACTCAATAATCATTGAAAAGAGCAAAGAGTATCTGTGATAGTTTGAGTAAAAATAGCCCCTATAAGCTTACAGGAAGTGGCATTATTTGAAAAGATTAGTACTTGTGGCTTTGTTGGAATAGTTATGGCCTTATTGGAGGAAGTGTTTCACTGGGGGTGGGCTTTGAGGTTTCAGAAGCTAAAGTCCAGCACAGTCTCTCTCTCTCTCTTCCTGCTGCCTGAACTTTCAGCTCCTTCTTCAGCACCATATCTGCCTGTGTGCCATCATGCTTCCTTCTGTGACAATAACGGGCTAAATCTCTGAACCTATAAGCCAGCCCCAATTAAATGTTTTCCTTTATAAGAGTTGCCCTGTTTATGGTGTCTCTCCACAGCAATAGAGACCCTGTCGGAACTGGGGTACTACTGTGATAGGCCTGCCCCCCCCTTTTTGTTTGTTTGTTTGTTTGTTTGTAAGAATGTAGACTTTGGGATATATGAAGATCTATAATGAAAATGAGCAAGCTGAGCATGGAAAAGTACAAAATGTACTTTTTATACATGAGAAGAAAAGGAACACCAGGAAGTATAATAGAGCTAAATCCAGTGCTCAAGGAGATTAAAAAAAAAAATTAAAGAAAAGCCTGAGTCTAAATGGAGTAAAGGGTGTGGTGACCTCAGAGCTAGACCCCACGTAGCTAAACTTTCAATTTGTGATAAAGAATTAAAGTGAAGCTTAGGCCTGCGTGTGGGTGCATACCTTTAATCCCAGTACTCAGCAGAGAGAAGCAAGCAGATCTCTGAGTTCGAGGTCAGCTTGGTTTGCAGAGCAAGTTCTTAGACAGCCAAGTTTAGGCAGTGAAGGAAACCATCAAAAACAGAAAGCTAATGAAGATGTAACTGAAAGAAGGGACCATGTTGCAGCCTGGCAAATAGAAAAACTTGGCAGCTTTGGCTGTGTGATTCTGATTTTAGAATCAAGGATAGAAGAAAAGGGTTATGGGCTATCCGTCTGTGGCTAAGGAAAGCCCCCAAGGCCAGGAGTGTGTCAGGGGTGTCCCTGAATGGAGGCCTAGAGAGGCTATTACCTGAAGCTGTGAAGTTGAAGCCTGGATTACCTTGGACATCTCAAGATGTTGGAGATGCCAAAGTTGCAAGATAATCTGCCAAGGAGAGCTGCTAACAGGGAGTGGATCTGGCCCATGAGAAAGAAGTGTGTTGCAATCAACAAAGCTGAAGAGAGTTGGAGATCTGAACAGCACTTTGATATCAGACATGGAGATGCAGAGTTTGGAGTTTGCTCAGCTGGTTTTAGTCTTTTTAGTCCAGCATTTTTTCACTATGCTCCCTTTCCTCCCTTTTGGAATGGTAATGTGCCACTTGGAATAACATTGTGCTGTTGTTAGAAGTATATGATCTGCTTTTCCATTTTGATTTTACAGGGGATTACAGTTAAGAGATTACATGAATCTCAAAAGAGACTTTGAACTTTGGACTTTTAAATAGTGCTGAGACTATTATAGACTATGGGGACTTTTGAAGTTGGACTGAATGCATTTTCACATTATGATATGGCTACAAGCCTATGGGGGCCAGGGAGTGGAATGTGGTGGTTTGAATAGGAAATGGCCCCATAAGCTCACAGGGAGTGGCAATATTTGAAAGGATTAGGATATGTGGCCTTGTTGAAGTAGGTGTGGCCTTATTGGAGGAAGTGTGTCAATGGGGGCAGGCTTTGAGGTTTCGAGGGCCCAATCCAGGGCCATTGTCTCTCTTCCTACTGCCTGCTGACCCAGATGCAGCCACCTCTCCAGCACCATGTCTGCCTGTGTGCCACCATGCTTCATGCCATGATAATAATGGGCTAAACCTATGAACCTGTAAACCAGTCCCAATTAAATGTTTTCCTTTAAAAGAGTTGCCCTGTTCATGATGTCTCTGCACAGCAATAGAACATTGACTGAGATAGCATCTAGTGTGTAACAATCTGTGACTTTTAATTCATAGTGCATAGAATGACCCTCCCAGGCTCCTGTTCTTTCCCCAATAGTATTCTCTGCTCATCTTCTAGTAGGCTCACCTAGATTCCTGACTAACATGAGGGTCCTTCCCTCTCCAGATAATTGGTAAACACTTATAAGAGAAAATAGTTTTTTTTTTCTCTATAACAGTGTATACCCTCAATTATGCTGGAACTCATTTCCATTTAATGATGTTAGAGAAAAGGATATAGGAAAAACCAGCAGAAGCCTAGCAGGGTAGGTACCTAGATTTTTTTTATCTTGGAGCTTGAGTATCACTGAAAATTAAGTTGGGTACATTTATGCTTTTCCATTTGTACTTCCAATCAATCCAACTCCCTTCTTTTTCCTCCAGTACACATTTCTATCAAGCCTATGATAAAGTAGAAATACTACCAGAATACTGCTGCTGCCCATTCCCATCTTTATGGAGTGATTCTTAAATGTTGCCAGTCATTGGAGCCTTGTAGAGAGCTTGTGAATGCACATTGCTGGGACCCATTTCTAGAGTTTCTGACTCAGAAAATTTTGGCTATTGTAGTAGCTTGAGTAAGAATGGCACCCGCAGGCTCATTTATTTGAATGCTTGGTCATTAGGGAGTGGGTCTACTTGATAGGAATTAGGAAGTGTGGCCTTCTTGGAGTAGGTGTGGCTTTGTTAAAGTAGAAGTGTGTCTCTAGGGTGGACTTTGGGCTTCAAGTACTCAAACCAGGCCAAGTGTTGCTCTCTTTGTCTGTCAATCAGTCTGTCAGGCAGTCTCTCTCTCTCTCTCTCTCTCTCTCTCTCTCTCTCTCTCTCTCTCTCTCTC